TCCCAAATGCAGAAGACTCTACGTAATAATAATAATAATGACAAATTCAGTCAATGAAAACAATGTTACTACAGTGTATGGGATCTCTGATCACAGACTACGGCAAATTAAATTATTACATTCCCTGTCATCACCTAGTGTTTGCTTAAATTTACTGCTTAATATTGCTGGATTGGCAGCCTATTTAAATTATTTAGCACTTTTGTAATGCACTACCTCTTTAATTATGCTTTTAAACACAGTTTCTCTTTTCTGCTTGGAAGCAGTTAATCTAGTTTGATGCTCCTCCTTTTCATCTTCATGCAAACAAGGCATCACATTAGGATTTTCTCAAACATGAAAAGCATTTGTTTTCAGTCAGTCAAATAAAACTAATAGTCAATATTTGTCCACTGTTTTTGCTTCTACATGACTTTATTTATTCTCTGTATCTGTCAGTGGAACTTAATTGTAAAACTTTAGATCACTTTTTCAAAGGTTCCCTACCAATGGACATAGCGCTCTGACAGGCAAGCATCACATAAAAAAAAAAAGACATTCTAACAGAAAATGCAATCATCTTGTGAAATTCTCTAAGATTAGAAATAAAGGAACTGTTTACCTGCAAAGAGCCACAGCTGAAAGAAAAGGAAGAACTGAACACACTCCAGTTTGATGAACTGCTCACTAAACTGCGAAGCAACGGAGATAACCGCAGCAAACACTCTGCAAGCACTGAAAGCGGTGGATGGAGACAGATAGTAAGTTAGAAGTAAAGAGCCACAATCTCATCTTACACTAACTTGGTTATTGCAGCTTTAAGAGAGAGGTTTGGAAAGTTTTCCACTCCATACTACTCTTGCACACCCCTTCTAAAATTAGAAAGGGGCAGCTGGCTATTGCAGCCAAAAGATGGCTGGAGCCCCCCCGACTCCCTCCCCCCTTTCCTTGATTGACGTGGCTCCCGAGAGCTACGGAGGAATTTGGGGAAGGGTGCTTCCACCTGTTGGACATGGAATGAGGTTGTCCAGGCATTCAATTATAAATCCAACTGTCAGGAGCTGACAATAAAACAGGACACAGCACAGCTGTGAGGACTACAGAACATCCCCCCACTCTCTCCTACATACCGCTACAATTTTGCAGTTTGTCTTACAGCAGAAACAATGCATGAAGAACTGTTCTCTGCAGGATTTGGGCTTATAAAATAGAGGGATCACTTCAGATCTATTCTCATTGTTTTCCAGCTGTGCTACAGGGTCTTTGCACAGAATCTGGCAAGCTGTTCACACCTCCAAAACCAGATTCTTTTTTTCCTAAATACAGCACGCTGGCAATTGCACTGCAGATGGTGTGTGTAGCTGCATTCTGTACAGCAAATACTTTTATGCCTACCTTAACGCTGAGCTCACCTTGCCTTCTGCACTCAGTTTGAGCTGAATTGATTAGTTCAAATCATTTTCAAAAAAAAAAAAGGGTATGAAAAACATGACCTTTTTTTTTTTTTTTTTTTTTTAACTTTGTGGAACATGAACAAATGCTTTTGTTGGTGTGAAAAAAATGGGGGAAAAAATGAGTTCTTTTAACGAACTTGCTTAGCATGCTCAAAACTCCGCTGCTCAGCGCAGCGTGACTCGGAGCAGGGTGTGAGAGACAAGGTAACAACTGATGGGGCCGCACGTTGTTCTAGGTCCCTTTTACAAGGTCCACTGCTGAAGGCAATATGGGTATTGCCATCCCCCAGGTGCACAAAGGCAACAGGAGGAGTAGCAGAAGAGGGGCCACACTCCACCTTCCGCGTGGGTTGGCTACCTGCAAGGGGGCTCTTGCCAACTGCGGGTGTCAGTCTGCTCGCAACCCAAGGAGCGGTTCGACTGTGTTTTCCAGTCCAATTTGTAGAGTGCTGGAAATTTTGCCTGCAAAGCAGTGCGTAGCTGGTTCTGCTCCCCTAAGATTGTGTTCTGCCCAAAGTTTGTATGCTGTAAGCTCACAGAACAAGAAACATCCCCTTCTCAGTCCCAAGGCCAGACCTCGTGTCTTTGCTCTATATAAGCACAGTTTTGTTGTCACAGACTATTTAATTTGCTGATCTGCAGACAGTTAGGGACAGTTCAACTTCAGAAGAGAGATTTCTCTGGAAGCAGCCAAAATATTTTACAGTTTGAAAAACATCAAATGGCTATGTTTGCTGCAGGCAATGAAATAATTATACAAGGAGGATAGTAATCGGCTGCCTGTGAGCAACACAGACAGACATTACTCTTCACCCCTGGCTGAGGAGGAGTTACTTAATGAGATCTGCATTAAGTACCAGCAGATAGTTAATGAGAGCCTTTTAAGGACAAAGCCACTAACAGCTACAAAAAGGACCCAGTTCTTCTACAGCAGGAACAGTCTTCTAATCCCAAACCTTTCCCCTCCTCCAGTAAGGGCTACTGAGTACTGATTTATTTTTCCAGATTAAGCAGCGCACCATATATTTGGAAATATACCTCACTCTCCCTACAACTAACAAAAAAAAGAAAAGTGATTCTCCTTTGTCTGGCACAACATTAAGTAGAACATGAAATCTTTAGGTTCCAGGCACCTTCCTATTTTGTCTTGAAATGGGGCAACATAGCTCTTTAATACCCAATAGTCTTGGGGGATGGGTGGCAGTTTTAGAAACAGAAAATAACTTGGATTACATATGTTTTATTAGTTTAAGAGCATAGAATCTCCTGTTTTCATGTCATAACTTAAGTCTTTCTTGTGGTTGCCAATTCTGCTAAGTATATACCTTTTTTTCTAAGCTAGTTTTTAGTAAAAGTCCCTCCAGTCAGTTCACAGTGCACTAGTTTGCAACAGCAGAGGTACAGGAACATGCAGCTAGGAGTGGAACAAGAATGAAGTCATCCCTTTTGTCAGCTGCTGACTCTTACATCAGACTAATGAAACAAGTGAACCATATCTTATCATTAATTCCTCAGTTCTGATTTCAGCTGGAACAGTACAAGAACACCAAGTAAAAGACAATTCAGAGCTATTACAATTTCCTGAATTGAGCCTTGTTAGAGAAAAGCCCTGATACTATCAAATACATGCATCTGCATCCCAGTATCTACCACCCCACTCAAGATTCTTAAAGGTTCTAAATTTTGCAAAAGGTTGTATTTTCGGCATCTGTGTTTGGTCAAAGGTAAAAGGAACAATCTTAAATGTGTAAAAAAAAGTCTGACCACTTGAAAGTCAATGGGCAAATACTAAAACAGCTTATAAAACAAAGAAGTAAATTTATTTTTAATGATTACTAAAATAGTTTACATAATATACAGATACACTATCAAGACACACTTGGAAGTAGGTCACAGTTGGTTTTTTTTTAAAAACATTTGTCCAGTGAAATGTCCAAAACGTAAATGCCATCTTTTCCTTCCTGAGCTATTCTTAAACATCCAAAACAGCAGCACTTCCATGTCTTTTTACTGTTTGTATTTCTTCCCATTAAAATAAAAAGCACTATCCATTGCTGGCTCAGTGGTTAGAACAAATCCACCTCAAGGTTTAAGCGACCACAGCTCTGTGTGTCTCAAACTGTGTTCTTTTACGTGCTTAAGGTGATTTTGGTCCATTCCACGTAACACCCCAAACCTTTGCTTGCACAAAGAAGCCAGAAGGTCCAGCACCTCAAGAGGTTTTCCTGGTTAAGAAGGACTTTTTGCAACTGGACAGCTCACAGGGCTTGTAAATAAAGGATGGATCCAAGAGCCACTAATCTCTTGGCTGTTACAAGTAAACATCCTATTAATTTGCGAGCAGTTTTCACACATTCCTTCATACTCAATAAAACCAAATGCACACAGACCAATAGTTCAAGAGCATACACTAACAGCAGTGACATGGAAGTGCTGCAATTCTCTTATTCTTTTACGCAAAATAGTTACAACAGAAACAAGTATATGTTTTTAGTCTGGTGTGAAGGATTCTTGGCATGAGGCACTCCAAAAATTTATTTTAAAAACATGCATTGCTAATCTGTTCTTCACTAGAAGCTTATACAGCAAGCAACAGGCTATATGCAGACATGTGAAGAAAGGTTTTTTCTAGGATACCAAATACCACAAATAAATAAAATCTCTTGATGCAAAAATAATTATCTTATTAAAATGAGAAATAACCTATGTCTTCCTAAACTTTTGTTTGGAAAGGAGATGCAACAGGTCTTTAGTACACACACAGAGCTGACATTTCCCCCCAATTTAAAGACTTGCAGAACTTTGTCAAAGAGCAGAGAATTCCTGGAAGCAGTGAGGCAAAGAGGTGCTGAGGATTATTTAACTGACATCAGTACTACTAACATCAAGCCATCCTTCATACCTCAGCTTTTCTCACTTTCCAGAACTGTTTGGGGCAGGCTCATTTAAGGAAGAAATGCTTGCTGAAAGGATCTCTGCAAGTCACAAATCTTTCCAGCAATTTTGCCACTTCTAGAAGTTGCCAGAGACAGCTGATATCTACGTTGTGATCAGACAGATCAAGAAAAGGCTTGTGCTTAGACTCACATCACTTTATCATCATTTTCAGTTTATGATTTTTCTTATGTTAGAAGAAAAGTAAGCAACTCTGGCAGATGACGGTGATGTTTTTGCATCCTATTACCTTGTCAAATGCAATACCTGCTTTATGCACCACCAGAAAAGGTTCCTCATAGCAAAGCAAATAGGGAACCAAGACAGCTTCAGAAGCAGGGGAGTGGTTCTGCAATAGTGGACACTTACTTCCAGCTCCAGGACACCAAGCCTGAATAAGTCGCTGAACACAACTTACCAACAACCAGCAAGTTCCTTGCTTACATTCTGCAGCTGATTTAGAGAAGCCCCAGTTACTTTAGCAGAAACAACCCTGCCAGCTGGTGGAATTTCTTTGCACAGAAAGGACCGTATGCTTCCTGAACTCAGCAGCCACAGTAAGTCCTTCCCTGTTCAACCATTGCAACATACATTTTCTGTCTTCCTCCTTTCCCAAGTCCTCTCCAGCAACTTTTATGTGCATCCCTCCATAGGGAGGCCCTTTTCAGGCCAAACAGGCAACACAAGATGAGAGATACGGCTCCACAGTCCACTCAGCTTATCTGTGTCCATGCTATTATAAGAACTAGGAACATCTGAACTGGTAAACTTTGCCCAGAGGAAATCCCGGACTTTCTCCTCAACTTCTTGCAAGGTGAGGCTCTTTCTAAGCGACTGCTCGTCCAGGAGAACCGTCAGCAGGAGGGCCACATCCTTAAATGCTGCGTTTTCATGGTCACAGTACTTGTAAAAGATTAAGGTGGAGCCTGCAGGCAGCAACTCAAATCGATGCACCACTGCTACTTTCTTGCCTTCTCTGAATCCAGAGCTGAGCTCCTCATCTACCTCCAGCTTGACAACGTCGCTATCCAATATGGCTTTGTCTGCCCCGTTAATTTTGATGGTAGTGGCATTCTGGGACAAGGCAAAAGCATCAGCAATCTCGTTACTTAGGCATCTCAGCGCTTTCTCAGCTTCTTGGCCAGCTGTGAGCAGTAAGATGGCTGGTTCCAAATGCAGATGGGAAGCATTAAGATGTTTCTCAAGGAACACATGGGTTCTTTTCCACAGATTGGGGTCCTGACTTTGGTAAGTATTTTTTAGTTTCTTCATCTGGGCCCGAAACGCTTGCAGAATTTTAGTATCTCTACTGGACAAAGTTGCATCCAGAAGGCTTGGTATTCCACTCCACAGGACATAAAGCAATGAGACACTAATTAACAGAACCACTAAGAAAGTCCAGCTCTTGTAAAATCCTCTCTGCGATTCACCATCCTCTATAGAAAGGAGGAGGAAACAGGAAGAAAACAACGTTTTAAAAGGAATCGGAAGCAAACAAGGACTTAGATAAGGAAAATAACAGGAAACAGTAGAATTCAACGAACTCATCCCACTCTCAAGCTACTGGTACAGTAGTCGCAAAGCATAAAGAAGATGTCTTAGTTAAAAAAAACCACCAACCAACCCAACAAACTTTGAGCTTCTTTAGCAACTTGGTGAAGTAGCACCATTAAAAAAAGGACATTTTTACACATTTCCAGATTGAGTAAGAAACTGGACATTCTTCTGAAAAAGGACCTCTATTTAATCAAATGCAAACTAAGAGCTTAAAACAGTTCTAATGAAGGTCAAGCTTTTTCCTACGTTTAGGCTCTGCAGAAAAAGCCCTATACAAAACCTGGCATCACTAGAATGGTTTCTGTGTTTACTTCTCCTCCCTATCCCCATAAGGATAAAAATAGTTTCTGCAGCAGTATTTGCATCTCAAACACTGGTGATCAACACTATCAGAAAATGTTTGTGGTCTTTGGATCAGTTAGCTTCACAAAGAGTACACACAGCAAACAGTGCACAGGAAGCATATAGAATGTCAGGTATTTTGATTTGGTTTTGTATTTGAACAGTTAAATTAACACTTGTTTGACCTACTAAAAGCATAAGGCTCGATTCTGTTCCCAGTAAAATTAGTGACAAAATATAACAACCTCCCTGGAAACAGCAAAGAACTGTACACCTTATGCTACCTTTTTATATCCTAACTTTTATCAGGACAGCAACACAACAACTGTTAAATAAGAACACCACTAGGCCTGCCTTAGTTTTAATCTTGCAGCAAATTCTCTAAACACTACAGATGGGAGACCTTAAATTCAGGTGAAAATGTTACCTATTACACAAGACTTCCTTCCTTAGCGCTGAAAACACATGCTGTGGCAAGCAAGTCATCTGTTCTGGCAAGGGCCCTCAGTTTAACACCAGCTATCAGGAAATCTAATACTTGGACCGGCATGAAAATGGTTAAATGTAACACATGCATGAAATGGAAGTGAAAGCAGAAGTCTTACTTTTGGCCAAAGGCTGTGACTGCTTCCCTACATTGGGCTGATCTTGAAATTTACTTCTGCCTGTTAAGCGATTAAGAAAGGAACATGAGAAAAATACTAAGACAACAATTTTAACCAATCTTCCAGCGAGGAATTCAGCAGGGAGTTGAAATCACCCAACTGCGTTATTTTCAACAAAAAGCTGTTCTTAGTTACGCTTTTACATACAAAATTGTATGAAGCTTACAGGAAGTTTAAGAAAACACCTTTGCATAACACCTTGTTGAAGCGAATGCAGTGCTGCTAAGTAGGAGCAAAGGCGAGGCTGTGACCTCATCGCGGGAAGGGCTGTATCAAGCATGGGACTTTCTGTTCTTTTCTGCATCATTTGCCCTCCTGTGCTCAAGCAAGGCTATTCCTAAACAAGGAAAACGACGTGTTCGCCGCTATTACTATCCTGAGAAGTCCCATTGAACTGGCAGACCAAGTCTCCATCTACGCTATTTGCCACATGTCAGTTCTTAGGCCATCTTGACAATCTTCTGTAAAAGGCACGTCCCCAACCGATCACAAATTACCCCTGAAGATTTTTAACTCTTGAAAAGTTTTGCAAATAAAAACGGAGGCATCTCAAGTACAAGATGACAAAATGGCAGAGATTTAACAACCTGTTATTTTCTGCTCAAGGATCCCATGTCCCAATTAAGTTTCCTGATTTTGCTCAAGAATTTGAGGGACAGAAAAATGAAAGTTCAATTAGCAGACATATTAGAAAAACAACATAACGTAAAATGTAAGTAGCAAAAGCAGTGCTGTATGTTGAAGGCATAGTCTCGTATCCCCCCTCCATCTAGCTTGGGTAAGAGGCCTGCTTCATCAGCAGTCAGTTTCTTGGGATGAATTGTGCTTTTAAAGCAAAATGCAAGCTTTCAACTTCAAAATATAGTTTTGGTCTATTTATTTAAATGGGCTCAGACAGCAAAGTACAAGAGACATTATCCATAAAAGAGTGTTATGAACAACTTTACCAAGAGGCCAATATGAATAAGTACAGTGCAATTATTGGTCAGCAAGTTTTCTGCATTTAGTCAGTTAATTAAAAAGACATGAGAATGTCTGGCTCCTTGTGAACTACAGCAACTGGTTCAAAGCTGAAGGCTCTTTAATAATATATAACCAAATCAGGATACTGTCAATGGCACTATTGAGAATAAACTGGACAAACACACCCCGCGGTAGTTATTTCAAGAACACTAAAATAAATTCTATAATCTTGTTTCTGTATGAATGTAATCGCAGAAGGTGCTAAAAGCAGCTCTGGTTTAAGCCAGAGCTTAACTGGCTTAATGAGCTACGCTATTCTGTAATTTCAACCCGCCGCTCTGATAGGGCACAGACATGGAGATTGTAATTGGCTAAGCTTACGTAAGTCTTCTAATAGTTAACAGATCAAAATCACCTCAATTCTGTAACATTTTACAATGTAGCCCTGTTTGCAGAGACTAGATTTCATATTTAGGAGACAGCTGTGATTCATACCCTAAAGGAAAAAAAAAAACCAACCAAACAACAAAACCCGAACCAACCCCCTGAGGTTCTCCAAATTGAATTCTGATTTACAAGGCTCTGTTTATCTATACCTGTTCAGGATAGAAACAAGCACTGAGACATTAAGAACAGAAAGCTACTAAGAATTCTGAACATTTTTTTTCTCCCCCTCTTCTTTCACGTTATCTTTCAAGAGGGAAAAAAAACAACAAAGCAACAAATCCACAAGAACAACAAAAGACAAAAATCTGACATACAAGGAGTTGGTCATTAGATGAACACACTGGACTTTGCTGAAGAAAGACACTGCTCCTCTCCAGGAGTATACGACAACTAATTCAATCATAGCAGGCCACCATTACTCAAGGAAAGACTAGAAGGGAAAGTGATGTGTACAAACTAATCTAATATTCACTGCTACCAAAAGGTGAAGATTTTGTTCCCTTCCTCAGCTTACCCCCACAATGCCACTAGTACATGCTCTGCACTTACAGATTGTCCCATGAATCAACTCCATTCCCTAACCCAGTCAAAAAAAAAAAGAAAAAAAAAAAAGTGGGTCATTTTCTGTGGTCAGTGAGTTGAATAACCTCATAGAAGGGCTCTGGCTCTGGAATGTGCTGCCTTTTCCAGCTTCTATTTGCATCTGCCTCCTGGGTCCCTTTCCACCTTCCCAGACAGTGTCCCAGGGCACAAGAAAAAGCATGAGCAAAGGAAAGCAAAAGAATTCTGTACTTTTCACTTAATTACAGGGAAAGACTAGTTATCTATTTTTTTTTTACTTACTCTGTGATGTAGTTGAACGGTGCTCTTGATTTTTCTCAAGGAAGTCAGCCTTTCCTTCAGAAACCAAAGCACAAATGAAAGAACTTGGTTATCACATCAGAGGTCAGAATAAGACAGGCAAGGCATATGTGCTCTTAGCTCTTTCTATGAAATCTTCAAAGGTTATTAGGGAAGGAGCATAAGCTGTGCTGCCAAACCAAGCCTGCACCATACAACAGCCTCTTGGACCCCTCTGTAAATGGAGACAGCTACTGTCATCCAACAGAAAGGGCTTTATTTGCCCCTTCACCCTGCTTTTCCCAATATGACACAAAATTATCCTTCCTATTGTTTCCGTTTTGTTAGTCAATACTCACAATTCCTTTCAGTGCTCTCCCATAAACACTGTGTGGTTAGGGCTATTACTGACCAAATGAGTGCAAGCCGCTACCTCACTTCCTGACCAGTTACCAGTTCTCCTACAAACCTCCCTTGCATAGTGTATCGATTTGGATGTATTCAAACCGCCTGTGGCAACATAACTACCTCCTGCCGGGCTAAAAAGTATCCCGTATTTTCTTCCTCATTGTATTTCCCCATTGCTTCTGTAACACACACTGAGAAAAATCTCTTGAGCAACGAACAGAAAAAGCGCTCCCTCACTTTGAAATCACTTTGTATAGTCAGCTTCCCCCTGCTAACGTCAAAAGTAACTCACCTTTTTCGAAAAAGAACATTTTATTTCACTTTGCCTGAGGCAATTAAACATCCACTCTCATAATAGTTTTTGAAGCAGGTATAATATTAGTCATCTTTTTGTTTTGCTTTAAAAAAAAAGATGGCTACATATTCATCAAAGTTTAAAACTGCACTGTTTTGAACTTCAAAGTTTTATGCCCAAGCAGATGACTGCCACGCTACAATCAGTTTTAATTTGACTCATGGGCAGGAGTACACCCTGAAAATTATTATCACTTTTTTTTTTTTAAAACTTCTTCATCCGTTCAGATTTCAACTCAACAACTCCCTCTTGCAATAGAACTGAAAGAATCTAATTTTAGCACATTTAAGCCATCGTCTGTTACATCACAGAAAAGGTACTGATAAAACTAGTGTTGTTACCTTTTAACAGTGTATAAATGTTAGGTTGATGCCCTGCTGGTTTCTCAGGTTTGTTACTGTCATAAGCCTTCACTTTTTCCTTTATTGGATTCTCTTGAAGAAAGTTACTTGAAGAACTGCCTGTCAGGAGGCAAAAAGAAAAAATAAGAGAGCGGATTGGTCTAGGTACAGTATCATTTGTGCCCGTAACATCACAAAACTGAAGGACCAAGACATAGTTTCAGAACATACATGATCTAAATCAATGACTTTCAAGTAGTGATCTCCCAAGAGTGACTTTCTTAAATGTAACCAAAAGCAACTAAGACTTGAAAAGCTTATGGCAAATGAGTTCACTACAAATACAGCTGTCTGCAACACAACACACTTTTTTTATTGTTATTATTAGGAGTCCATGGCTTAAAAACACTTTTAAAAAAACCAAAACAATCAGACATGAGGACACCAAATGCTAAGAGCCAAGAAATGTCTTACCCTAAAGGGATTCAGTGTAAACTAGTAAATACACAAGCATGGGAGTAAAGAAAATTTTTCCCACAGCTTTGGGCACGCAACTTACAAACAATAATTGTGCCGTCTTCCCTAGTATTAGACAGAGGGGGAAAAGGGAGAGAAGCAAATATAGAATATAAGTCTCCTTTTTATGTAGTCGAAGCCATCCTTTGGTTGGGTCTCTTTTTCCCCTCTCATTAACCATAACGGAAATCTAGAGCACCTACGTTCCTAACTCACTCCCCTCAGGTAGCTGGGAAGAATCCTTTAGATTGTTTTCCAAATTACACAGCCATTCAGATGCTGAAACCAAACTTAGTTAATGTTACTAACTAGAAAGAATAAAGCCCAGTAAGGTTCTGGGAGTCACAGAGCAAAGGTCAGGGCTGGAAAGCCAGTCAAAAGTGGAACACCAGGAGAAGAGGTTTGAAAGGATAAAGTACAACCACATGGTTGCCCAGATTCAGGGTAGAGGTGAGGGAGCAGACGGAGTTCAGGTATGGAATGAAAGCTGTAGTACCGCTGTGGAACAGAGACTATGACACAGCGATCAAGCTGAAGGGCATAAGCAGAGGAAAAAGCAAAGGAAAGAATACAATTGGGAAAACTTTTTCTCTATAACATTCACACTGGACCCTTTTATTCTTTTAACAGTACCGGGTTCTCCTGGGGTTCAATGTGTTTCTATAGCTCTTTTACCATACGCGTGAGGGCAACACACAGCTTGCCACCTAGTGTTTATTAATTTTACTTCAAGAAAAGAAAACAGCTGCCTTCTAATCCGTTCTGGCAACTTTAGCATGCCAGTGTACGTGAAGGATACAAAGGAGTACAACAAAACCAAAAAAACTCCACAAAACACAAACAAGGGAGAAAACTCTAAGTTTTAAACTAAGACATCAAGTCACAGGTACAACAGTAAAGTATTTGCACATAGTAAGTAGGATACTATATTTTCAAAACCATCTTAAAAAGCTCTTAAGTGACTGATTTCCCACCAAGCTAAAAATGAAAATACTCAAATTACTTGATCTTCAGGAATGCCAAACAACATACCCATAATATTTCACTACGTACTGAGGTTTTGCAAAGAAAATCTCCCTAGTAGCAACATCCAGTAATCACAAGACTAGAAAGATCTATGGCTCTAAAGAGGGCTACTCATGCAGTCCATACTTTTTAATTCCTCTCCCTTTCTTTGCACCGCTCAGTACTCTGTGTCTCTCAAACTGTTCTTAAGAGTTGTTATAAGAAAGATTTAACTACATACAACTTTGTTTTGCCCATGAAGACAGCTTGTGAATCAGCACCTTCTCTAACAATGGGTATCACCAACAGGAAGAGCATTACTGAAAGCAGACAGCACACATGGCATCCCCTACAGAGGAAAGTAAACTCCCCTTTATGAAGTTTAACTTTCCTAGAAATATATATATATTCCAGCCCAGACATGCCTGTTCTTTCCTTACAAGGCCTTAAGCCTCCTACCCAAAGGATCCCTGCCTCCCAGTGAGGATTTTCCGATCCACCTCAAATCTACTGGCCAACCACCTACTGCACAGTCACCTGCCAAGAGAGAGTAATCTTCTTACTACCCCCATGTCATACACCAGTTTAATCAAAGGGATTAGAAACCTGCCAGTTCATAAAGTACAGGTTTATAAATCAAAATATAAAACCACTATTTTAACATGGCAGAACTTGTTCTTTTAAGTCTAGTACATATCTATCCCTGTGGGTTCAATCTTTTTCAACACAGAGATAAGCCTGCAACACGCTTGCTGCAAAGGTCCACAGCAACTGTAGACAGCACAAACTCGAGTGCCAAAACCACCTAGCGCCTGCCTTTAACTTGTACAGTCATACACTCTACTTACATATTTTATGACAACTTCAACGGAGATTGCTAGCATATATCTTTAGCTCCTTGATCTAGGAGATGCCTGACTGGAGGCAGGGTTTGTAGGCTCTAAAACCTTTCTCGCTCCAGAAGCAAGTTTCTTAATCTATATTTAAAACCTCTAAGCAGAAGCCAGAAACCAGTTTCTCAAGTTGTGGTTTTGCTTCCATCCTGGTCTCAGGGAAGCATGACAATTACGTGCTTATAAAAATCCACCCTGCTTGTCCCGCTGCCTCACAGATCCTGCATTCCCCTAAACTCTTCAGAAAAAAAGACAGTACTGTATAGCTACAGGTGAGAGGACTGTGAGGGCCAAAACTACTCCTTCGCTTCTATATAAAGCATTAGAGTCTCTTAATATTGATTATAGTCACAACAGGCGTAAAAGTACAAATACCACTGTTAAGAGCTCAGAGAGGTGGGGAGAGGACATCTCACCCCCCCAACCTCATTTTTAGAGACATCTACATTAAAAAAACCCACTCAGCTGTACCTCCTAAAGCAGCTCAGCCACATTTAAAACACTAAGCACGTTAGCTTAGTGACATGCTGACAGCCATCATTTGGCAGTAACAGCTTCCCACAGCTTTTTTCACAGATAAACCTTTGTACTTTCCCAGAGAAATACTCATAACCTCTCTCTTCCTCCCTCAAGATAAGATTTTTCCACACCCCTTGGAAATTCTGCTGCTGAAGCATAATATCGTCAGCCCTTTTTGACGGCCATGCCACATAATTAGGGCCGTGCCACATAATTAGGGCCATGCACTGGAGCTGTAACAAGAGCCTGGCGACAGAGAATACAAATGGGAATGGAAAACAGTGTTAGGACAGCCCAACTCATCCATCTTGAGAATTGCCACATGCTAATAATGTATACAGTCTGACTCAAAACAGAGTAAAAGGGAAGGAAATACAATTTGCTTGCAGTTTTCTGATGGAATGACGGGCTAAAGCCACGTGATTGCATTACACAAAGTCAGCCCCTCTCTAAAGTTTTGAGAAGGACGGAGTTTTCCACACAAGGACCAGAGCCAACACAACCACTGTCCAAGAGCAAGTACCAACGTATGCATGGGGCTTCAGAGAAAGGACAGGCAAGGCACTTCCTCACAGGCAACGCTGCTCGCTGTACGGAGCACAGCCTTAGAGCGGTCTATTTTTGCAGCTTCATTTAAATTCAGCCTTTAAAAACCAAGCAGCGTTAGTAAAACCAGTCCCTGTTTTAACGCTGTCACAAAATACTATTCCAAGTGACGCACTAGGTAAAACAGTCACCTCAGGGCTTCAGCATGCCCCTACGTGCACTGATCCTTTCGGAAGGCAGAGAAGCGCTCCCCATCTCTTATGTATGCAATAAAAACAGCAGCGGGATCTCCTCACCTGCACGCCAGAACCACACTAACACCTGCAAAGGAGCTAAACCCCAATAAACTCCATTTCCTCGGGTCTCGTGCGTTTCAGCACCTTCGCAGGAACCTCTCCGAGTCAAAACCTACCTGCCGATCTATGCCCTTTTATAGGGGGGCGAGTCAAGGAGTCCGGACTCCCAAAGGGATGCTCCTCTCCTGAAACGAGAAACAGATGAGAAACGGGCAGGACAGCTCGGTTCAAGCCTACCAGACTCCAGCCTGGCAGCCTTCCAGGAGCGCCAAACGCCCTTTGCAGACTCACTGGGACACCCAGTGTTTACAACGGGGCTGTCTGGGAGGGCACCCCCCTCCCCCCGGGCTGCCCCTC